TTTAGATCTCCTCCAAATTCAATATTTAACCTCAACTCTGTGTTTTTGCCCAACCCAGACTGGGTTGCTGGACACAACCCAGTCTGGGTTCACTCTGGGTTAGCTCTGGGTGCCAACCATCAGGGAATAAAGAGATAAATTAAAAATAACATTTTCACTCCTGCCATTAAGCTATTAACCTTGGAACGCCACTGAGAGATCGAGCTGCATGTACAATGACTATAATCCAGTGAAAAAATAAATAAAATTGTCACAAAAATTCAACTTGCGTGAATTAACCTTCTGAAACATTTGTCTGATAACAACCGTCCCGAAAAATATATGGAAGAAAAACTATCTGTCTCCGGCTTTTCAAGTTACTAATGTTATTTCTGTATGTTAAAAATGAGTATTTTTAAGAGGAAATGTCTTCAGAAAATTTTCTTCAATCCATATTTTTACTAAAAATCAATTTCATGCCATGAACAGGTAGTTGGAAGAATGTTGATATATGCCATTCTCTAATTTGTTCTTTGCTTTGGGATTAAACAAGCTCTTTCCACATCTCATTTACAATGTCAGGTTGTAAAATGAATAACGCCATGACAAGAAAAATCTTCAATTTTCCATATCTACTCATTTCTCCACTTGTCCTTTTCTTTAGCATCACCCGACCTCGGTTCATTTCAGCGGAGGAGAAGAACCTGTAGGACCTGGATCGTAAAGACCCATCACCTGATATAATGGACTCTCTACCTTTTGTTACGTACTAATAAAGGTCGCGATCATGATTTGCTCTCAGAGCAGACGTTGTCCAACTCTGAACTAAACGATCACCCATGCAAGTACGGACCCAGCTGAAGAACGCTAAGCCTAGATGGCCGCCGAAGCCGTAAACCACCCGCGTAATCATTAACGACGTGTTTGAAACAGAGCATTTTTCAGGTCTATGAAAGTTTTTAGATAAGAGAAGTTCACCAAACCTTGATTTTCATCACTTTCTGATGTCGACCGGACTTCACTGCTAGTTGAAGCGGTAGATGTTGCTCGCATTTCTCCTTCAGGATTGTCGGAGTTAAGATCTAGTTGAGACAGTTCACTGATGTAGTTCTGTTGGGTCTGTTCATTGGTTGGAGTTGATGGACTTCCAGATGGTGTAGAAGTCGGTGTTGGACCCGGTGTGGTTGCGGAAGTACTGGGAGTTGATGGTTGTACTGTGGCTGGAGTGTGGTTGCGTAACAAGATTTGCTGGAGCTGAGCTTGCTGCAGAATCACCGGGAGCTCATAATGGTGGAAAAAATAAAGCATCGAGTGCTGCAATTAAACAGAGATCAATTTAATTGTTGGTTACAAATGCGCGGGTATTTCTAGCCGAAAGAATAAGCCTCTTACTTCCTTTGTTCACTAACAGTGCCTCATATCTAACCTCATAAAAGATTCTTTTTTCTGATTTTCGTATTTTAAAGCGCATCACGAAAAGAGAACGTTTTGGTCAGTGTCTAGTTCAGGTCCACCACGCAATTCTGATTATTTTGGATTGTATGGGTTTCCGTCACTTAATTAAGGATCTGATTATCTTTTTATTCGGAGAGAATCAGTACAGGAGATATGACTGTGCTGGTACTTGTCTGTACCTCTAGTCAGAGAAGAAAACCATTTGGATTGAGAAGAAGAATATTTGTGAATATGTCTGTTAATGCACCGTTCCTTGCGATATCCAGGACCACAGCGATCACGTGGCGGTGTGGTCAGACCCAAAGACTATACATATTACTACACTGATAGACAATGGACACAGAAATATGGATTTCCAAAACGTCTTGAGCACATTGACCAAAGCTCTGAACTTACCTTACCCGACCACTTACCGTCACTGATCGAATACGACGAGTGATTTATCCGCCGCTACCCTTCTAATAGCAATTCAAAATATTGAATTGAATTTAAAATTACTCACTCGTCGAGTAAACAGCGACAGCAGGATGGGAGAGGGGTCAAGGAATTTCGGGCACAACAGAGTTTATCTCGAAACTGTTTTTTGAAGTACGCATAAAGATAAGAAGTTTTTTGAAGTACGGAAAGGATAACAATAGGTTTTTGATCACAGAAATTATCATTTCACTGATTGCTGTTTTTGGTGGACCTAAACCATGCATTTACAAATATTTCCTGTATTTTGAGGCTTACGATTTTCGAGTTAGATTGAACATTACCAAGTGGTGAGTTTCAATTATATTAAATTGAGATTGGTAAATCATCCCAAATTAAAAGATCCTAGTTTAGTATTTGTCAGAATTATTGCCACGTAAACTAATTTGCTCGGTGAGCTAATCAATAAAGTCTTTCGAAGGAGTCTTCTTTGATCGACGTCCAGAAGCAACGTGCAAATCTAGTACAGAAACCTCTCATACTAATTATGAGGCACAATTTAATGTTCCTATAATACTTGATCGAAACTGGTTGGAACAGTTTTGAACAATCATGTATAGAAAGATTTCGTTTTAAAGCTCTGCTGTCTTCCTATAATACTTGATCGAAACTGGTTGGAACAATTTTGAACAATCATGTATAGAAAGATTTCTTTTTAAGCTCTGCTTAAATCTAGTACAGAAACCTCTCATACTAATTATGAGGCACAATTTAATGTTTCTATAATACTTGATCGAAACTGGTTGGAACAGTTTTGAACAATCATGCATAGAAAGATTTCTTTTTAAAGCTCTGCTTTGCACTTTGCTTCTGGACGTCGATCAAAGAAGAGTCCTTCGAAAGACTTGATTGGTTAGCTCACCGCGCAAATTAGTGTACGTGGCAATAATTCTGACAAATACTAAACTAGGATCTTTGAATTTGGGATGATTTACCAATCTCAATTTAATACCATTGAAACTCACCACTTGGTAATGTTCAATCTAATTCGAAAATCGAGTTATATCGATTATAAGTAATTACGAGTTATTATAAGTAATAACGATGGTAATTTTTTTCTTTTTCAGAAATAACACAAGCGATATAAATAATAAACTATTATAGACCGTCTTTTCGCACTTAATTACAACATTATTGTAGTTTGATGCTTTTTTAACGCCTTTGTAAGGATTAGAAGGATCGATCATAATAATAAAACTCGGGATGATCAATAAAGTTCTGTCATCGAAGACTTACCTGGATAAACAACCAAGAAGTAACTAGAGCGAGACTGCTATACTGGCCGTTGAAGCGATAATGATACGCGTAGAATGAAAAATGGTAGAGATAGAAGAATCTGAAATCAAAAGAAAGATTCTTTCATGATTCCTAACGAACTATGAACAAAATAACATCCAGAATTAATCGAGCATTGCAAATCATGCATATTTTCAAGATTTATGCAATGAATGTATAGACCAGAAAAAAAAACAATTTCCATTCATTCTCAGGATTAGATCGAAATTATTATTGTGTACATATTCATAATGGCAAATTCAATAAATCTAATGAAAATAGTACATTGTGCGACAAGTGCGTACAATAACACATCTTGCATTGCCTGTGAGCATCACACGAGTACAAAAAGTCTTCTTCTTAATCCAAATTAATTTTATCCTCTGCATATAGATATCAAATCTTCTTCAATAACGGAATCCTGGTTTAATACGGTTGGTGGTCCAGTAGAGGGTAGCACTAAATTTTCTCCCAAAGTTAATTTTCAAATAATTGTTATATCCGGGTTAACAGTCATGATTTCTAAGCCCTCCTTTTGTTTTTTTAAAATCAGATAAACAGTACGGTGTATCTCATGACTTCGCGTTTTTTGTTTAGAGTATTGAGATTTTTTCATTTCTGTCGAATTTCATTATATGACTTCAACACAAGTTGATCAGTTGGGAATATTGCCGAGATATTACAATTTCACAACTGGATCCAATGCGGTTGCATACAATCAAATATGAACACTTTCTCCAAAAGTTTAATCTTCCTCAAAAAGTAAGACCTTCAGAACCTTATTAAAATTAAATATTTGCTTTCGGCAAACTTAGACTACACTTTTCACAGAAATCGGATTGCTAATTCCCTGATTCATTCAATTCCTTCCGGCAGTCCGCTTGTGATCTCCAGGATCACTATTGATGATCGGAATGTCGCAAATTAAATGGTGGTAGAAAAATTTTAAAAAAAGAAAGGGAAAAAGAAAAGAAGCAGAAGGGGATATTTAGGATATTAGAATAAAAATTGATGGCTCTCTCTATTACTCCCTTAGCGCTATTGTTCTCTCAGCGTCGTAGAGAGAGCGCTCAATAACTCTCTCTTCTACGAATGCAGATCGCAAAATCTGGACAGTTGGAGAGTTTTCACAGGACACGTACATCTTGCACAGATCATTTTTTGCAATAGTCTACGAAAAGTCTCCATTGCGCCAGAGTTTTCAGTTATTACCATTTGTACCGTGGAAAATTTTTCTCAGGAAGCATTCTGATAGGGCGCAGGGATTAGCTCCCGCTAGGGTCCAGGGGCGAACCCCTAGCGGTGGATTTGGCGGTGGATCCCCCCATACATGAGATCAAATATGCATTGAAACGATTAATTTCGCTAAAAACATTATTAATAAAACGATTTTTTGCGATTATATTTTTGAAAATTGGAAACAATTGCTTTGTCGGAAAATGAAAAATTTTACAATCATCAATTGTTAGTTGGTTTATTGTTTGTTTCGACAATTTCGATCTCTCGCACTGACTCTCTATGTTGGACATCAGTTGACCATGATGATTAATGACCAATCAGACAATTCTCGCGAAGGTGACGAACTAATCATGGCATTGGCCGGTTTCGTCACCAGTTGAGCATTGGCTTTGCGTCACCAACCAAGGCTCTTACAGAGACGATCTCGCATTGAGCGTCCAGGACATACCCAACAGATTGAAAACAAAGGATGCCTGGAATTCACAGCCAAATATATCGGCGAGATAATCAGATGTTCTTTAGATGACAGCTACAAGATGTGTACTCGTAAAGGAACCAAGAAGGTAAACTGGTAGAACAATATGCTATCGCGTTTTAGGGGCGAGCTGAGGAAAACATGGAATAAGGTTGAAAACTTTTTTAACAGTTCACGTAAGAGACAAGCTGTGGGACAACGTCAGCGTCTTCAGAAAGAATACAACAAATTCCTGGCTAAAGTTAGGAACGAACGTTTGGAAACATCCAGCAGCGGAATTTAGAGGCAGTTCGAGGCAAACGAAAGTCGTCAAGACTGACGAGCGCAAACCTGGACTGTCTTATCAAGCCACATCTTGATGCCAGAAGAGACACAGGACTTCTGCTGAAAGAACACTGTCCTAAGTTTACGAACCAGAACAGCTTACCTCAAACCACCAGGAAGACTGACGGTCAGTGCAAGTCCCAAGGTTGCGAACCCTGAAAGGTACCAGGACCGGATGGCATCTACCGAGCATGATTGCAGAGGGAATGGATATCATCATGGGGTTACTGACAGAAATACTCAGAACCAGTGTGGTACTGGAAACCGTGTGCTAGCAATGGGGATATGCAAAAATCGTTTCCCTACCCAAGCTAGGAAAGAATGGCTATGTTAAGCCGAGGGATTTCAGGCCCATCAGTCTGACGCCGTTCATGACACTAGTACAGCCTAGCCGTACGATACCACTAGGGCGTGCTTATGCCGTACTCATCGCATCAGTATTATAAAATACCGCTACTTTCACTACATCCAATTATAGTGAGTTAAACATTATTTGGACCTTTTTTAGTAGCTGAAATTAATCTCTTATCATATCCATTTAAAACATAACTACGATGCGCTATTATAACACTGATGGAATAGATATGACAAAAGTGTGCTATACTGGTGCGATACTAGTACAATACTATTCGGACGTACTTGTATGATACCCCCCGCATCAGTATTAAATTCAAATAGGATGATACTTGTGACACTTTTCCTGATTTCGTCCCGGAGATCGAGAATAGTTATTACTTTCACCCATTCTCATACTCACATCCTGAAATTCCTGCCAAATTAATGTGGCGCCAGTTAGCCTTTTATGGGCCAAAAACCAACAAAAAATTTTAAAAAACCGAAGGGAGGGTTACGAAGTGGCGTGCCCTGCCTTACCCGAAGTCGGTAAACCTCGTTCACCAAGAAACTAAATACTAAATTGAAAAGATAGTCAAAAACAAGGACATGAAGAGGCAGAACGAGTAGGGTTGGATCTGGCCCTCGCGCCAACACTATTTCCATAAAATCCATGAATCCATAAATTCCATAAATCCAAAAAGAAATGCCGTCCGAACTCTAAAACCAAAACGAAGACGATAATCCAGTTACCGTGAAAAAACTACCTGCGAGAAGCTAAAGCCGATGACGAATGGAACGGAAGCGGGAAGGTCTGGGTTGCCCCGGATGCTAAGTCGTGGAAAGAGGGTCAACGTCAAGGAAAGGCAAATCTAACCGAGAGATTAACCGATACAAGAGAAAGGAAATTGAGTAGAACGAATGCTATAAGATACCGATAACAAGACCGTCTGAGGATCTGAGATGTCATCACCGAAAATATCCATAACCCCAGCCGGAGCCTAGGGAAAGGCCCGGAGAGCATGTAGCTCATCTGACGGTGTTTCTACCCAGACCGCGATGGACCACTAACGGCGGCCCCGAGCATAAAAAGCGAACCGGAGAGAATAACCTCGAATCGAGAGAGCAGATCCAGCTAAAGGAAGCCGTGGGTAACCTATGAGAGTCTAGTAAGAGAGCAAACGAACTACGGAACTCGCCGAGAGCTAGCCGAAGCGGTTCTACCTGAATAAGTGGGAAGTGCAGGTAGAGCCCGGCAACCTGGGCTCATCGGGCTCACGTAGCTCCTATCGTTAGTGAGAGCTGGACGGCGGCCTCATTCACTTAACGAAGCTACGTGCTCTAATTCGATTTCTCTCCCTTCTTGATCTTTGGTTCGACTGATACCCACAACGGGCCACCGTGTGATCAAGCGGGAATTTCCAACTTTCCATCAATTTGAAATATAGATATAATATTTTATGCGAAATATCTTTATGCAGCAATATGAGGAAAAAAATTTTTTTCAATACTTTCATGGTGAGAAATCACTCTTCACAATTATTTTGCGTTCCGACGATATTTTTGCTGCAATTCAATAAATAAAATAGATCAATTGTTCAAGATTCTGAGGTGGAGCGATAACTTTACCGGGTAAAGTTCGCCCAGTAATTTGAAAAAAAAAATCGTAGATAAATTGTCGTATAAGTAATAGTCATATCAGCCGTTATTGACTAAATTAATATAACTGATGAGAATTTTAAAAGACGAATTTTGACGATGAGAACAGGGCTGGAACAGTTAGCAGCTAAAACTTCACTGAGGTTGACTGATTCCACTCACAAAATCGTTATACTGATGAATGCAGAAAAATGGGTATTTATCAAATAATAAACATATTATCTTATGCAAAGAATAGGTAAAAATCCGTTACTTTTCCGTTTTCATTAATAATCAAAACAGCGAAGGATAGAAACGGGGGTCTGTAGTAAATAATAAGTATGGCCGCGATTTTCGATGAATAACGATGCTCAATGGAGAAAACGGTTTATATGATGATGCACCATCATATAATAAAGGTGAGTTTCCTGGAAATCCAAACAGTGCAATTATACTAATAAATATGAACTCGAACAATGTCGAATTGGCAAAACATTACAATTGAAAATTGACACGTGCATAGCCGCACCAAATTTTTAGTCCCAGATTCTCATCGAATCAATTCATTTAATTGAATCAGAGCATTTCATCGAAATTACAAGTTAGAAAGGGTTTTTATAGTTAGAGGTGGTTTCGTATCTGAGGTTAGCTTCTCCAAAGATTTCGGTAATTATTTTGGTTAGGCGAACGTCTTGGTATGGAACATTAGATCGAATTTTCTATCGGTGGCATTAAGGGGGAACTGATTCGCCAAAACGTCTGTGCGTATGAGAGGTGGGTGACTTTTCTAAGAGATGTTATTGTTGAAGTTCTTAGTTTTCGATAATGGGTGAGTTATATTCGGAATTAATTCGCGATGAATTGGCGAAATAGGAGTTTGTACAAAGTTGGATGAGACCGATCGGTGGGCCTTTTTGGGAGCACGCTCTGGATCTGCGTCTGTCTCCTCTCAGAAAGCAAAATTGTAATCATTGATAATTTTCCTTATCATGTTTCCTGTCTCGGTTTCTATTTTTCCGTGAGATTAAGTATTATGCGGGGATTGGTGAGAAAGAGGGGAGAGACTGATAGGATAGAGACGGGCATTTTTAGTGGGGGAAGACGGCGGGTTGTTTCAGTTTTAGATTAGATTAGATTTAAATACGTGGATGGTCGGACTAGCCTCCCCAATGCCACCGCATTCAGATTAGAGTTACTGTAGCTCTGCTTGTTTTATGCGCGGATTATATGTTCAGCCCGGCCTTTGTTGCCAGTCTTAACAGATCCCTTGCATCCTTGTTCGCGACTTAATTTGCGGCGGGGAAGGCAGTTACCCACCAGCGCAGTCTCGTTGCTGCTAGAGCCGGACAGCCACATAGGATGTGTAGACTGTCCTCTTTTGCTTCATTGCAGAATCTGCACAACCCATCCCAGTCCATGCCAATGACTCTGCAATGTTCTTTAAATCTGCCATGTCCTGTGAACAGCCTGATCGTAGTGGCCAGACTTTTCCTGTCTATGGCCACTAGGTGTTTCGACCTTTGCTTGCTGGGGCCAGGCATGATTGCCCTGGCCTTCCTGCAGGTCATTGTGTCTTTCCACCGCTCCGATTGTTCTCGTCGGAGCTTTTCCTTTATGTGGCTTACACCAGGGGCCGGCAACCTAGGTTCATTAGGCTCACGCGGCTCCCGAGCTTCGTTAGTCAGGGGCCTCATCCACTTAACAAAACTACCTGCTCTAATTCGATATCTCTCTTTGCTTGAGCTCTAGTTCGACCGATACCGGCAGAGGGCCACCGTGCGATCGAGCGGGAATTTTGATTTTCCATCAGTTTGAATTATAAATATAATTTTTTTTATTCGAAATAGGCAGCAATATGAGGAAAAATTATTTTTTCGATGTTTTCATGATGAGGAATCTGCCTTGACAATTATTTTGTCTCCAGACGATATTTGCAGCAATGAAACAAATAAAATAAAATACTTGTCCATACCTGAGCTGGAGCGGTAACTGTACCCAATAATATGAAGCAAACAATTCGTGGATGAATAGTGGTGTAAGTCTTATACCACTATTTGTCCACGAATTATTTTACGATTTAATTATTATATTATGAGCAATAGTTGTAATAGACCTTGCTGAGGAAATGAATAAGAATAAAGAGATATAAAAATAAGAATTCTGAGAAGAAACTAGAAATGCACAGAACTGAGATAGCCCATAATAAATAACAAATATGCCCGAGATTTTCGACGAAACGGGTTCATTAGGAAATCTCAATTTTCAATTTTTTTTCAATTTGTTGATCAATAATGTCCAAGGATTCTCCTCCAAATCTGCTCATATCGAGGTAAAGTCTTTGAACTTGATTTTTTCTAATGACAGTTTTGAGATTTGAAACGCGTACCAATTGTTTATTGGATATTGTCATTGCTTAGCAACAAACGAGGAAATATTCGAAAAATATCCCAAGTAAAACCGTTTTACTTGTACCACGTGACTGAAAATGCCAGCATTTGATTGATTGAAATGGGGATGAAAAAAACCATCGTGAATATAATATAATATATAATAGAATCTTCCAAAAATAACCGTGGCAAATTTTTATTTTTCACATTTAGAGTGGCACTATTTGGTAGGAAAATAATAATTACCGAAAATCAATTCTTAAATATATTCTTGAGGGTTTTTCACTGTAAATTTTAATTTTTCAATTTTCTATTTAAAATTGGAAACTGAAAATTTGCGCCAATTCTGGCGGGTCAGCCATTTTTATGCGACTGGCACGCCACTCTACGTGGCTGGTTGCAATATCGTCACTGCTAGGACTTATTCGCTCACAACAGTTGGCTAATTGGGTACCCATTAGGATGAGAGGATTATCCCGACCTTAGTAATAGGCTGGCTCCCGACTACCTGAAGGTTGCCGGGCCCTGGCTTACACCCACGGCTTGGGGAACTCCCACTGGTGAAGCCCTGTCCGCGTTTATTGCCCCCTGCTTCGCCAGCTCGTCTGCCCTTTCGTTGCCGTGGATGTCCTTGTGACCTGGGACCCAGGCAAGGGTTACCTTGTTGCTGGTCGCCAGTTTTTCCAGGCTCTCCATGGTTTCCCAGACTAACTTAGAGTCAGTACTGGATTTGAGGAGAGCTTTTATAGCGACTTGACTGTCTGTCCATACAAAAATGTGTTTGTTAATTGTCATCCGGGACACCAGAAGTTCTGACCACTTTTTGATTGCCAGAACTTCCGCTTCGAATATGATGGTTATAGTCCCTAAGGACCACGTCCACAGGTAGTTTTTCTCCGGCCCGTACAGTCCTGCTCCAAAGCAGCCTCTGTATCCTGACCCATCTGTATGCCAATGCATGACATTGGTGCCTGTTTTCTTTACAGTTTCCCAGTTCTCCCTCTCAGGGATGTAGGTTTTAAAGGCCTTTCTGATTTGGTATTTCCTGATCATTCTATCTTGACTCATGTTCCAGGGATTTTTCTTGAGGATGTCAACCTTGGCGTCTGCCGCCCCGTTCACATCCATTCCCTCTGGCACAAGAGTCTATAAGCTGTTGATTCTGCCCTACTCACCACAAGATGATCGAGTGAAAGCAGGTCCAGGGCGTCTGTGGGTATGGTTCGCGTGGACCCGGTCGCTGCCCTCAGGAAATTTCCCTCTAGGCATTTGAGCCGGTTCCTTACCTCCATCCTCTTCAATCTGGGCCACCAGACTACAGCGACGTACTTCAGCGGCGGCAGCCGAACCATCTTGTACAGCCATAGACTGATCTTTAGGCTGAAGCCCCAGTCTCTGCCCCAGTTGAACACCCAGGTACCTCACTGAGATAGCATAGGCAATCTGCACCCGCTAAACTCAGCGGCTCCGGGTTTATAACTTTGGATTTCCCTTTGTTTCAGTTACTGAGCAGACATTTTAGGATCGGGTGCTATGTCGTTGTTGGAGCAAAACTGGATGTATTTCAGTGATATGGGTTTCAGGTCGGAACTTGCTTTCTCACAGAAGGTAAGGCTATACAACTCCGCTGTGAGACCAGCGCTGGTGTATCTGCATGTTAAGTTGTACCCATCTGAAAGAATCTCGACAACGTTAACCCGGTACCGGGAGATGGATGGAGAAGTTAGGAAGGTGATGATGAATCCTACGGTAAAACCAGAACGATTTCCACAGCCAATACGTACATCCCTGAGGACTCGGATGGGCTAGGGCCGCAGGCCTTATAGGAGATTGTAGAAACTGCACTATGTGCAAAGGAATGTGTATTGGTAGGTATACCCGAAGTTGCTAGAGCCACTGGGCAAGGCGAAATAACTGAAAAGGGGTGGTAAAACCCACTTCCCGACTTGCAGAGCGTGCTAGAGAAGTATAAACTAGATATACCGGAGATGGTAACGCAACCTAGAGCATCAGTGTCTGGAGTAGTAGAAGTGGTGGTGCGAGTGATGAGGGAGCAGATGACGTACAGGTTACTTCATTGGGGACAGAGTCTCTGCCACTTGACGAGTGTATAAGAATACCGAGAGATAATGTCCATGTCTACTTTAAAGTCGAAGAGCACTGAACACTGAATAGTGAGGAATCTACACGCGGCACAAGAAGAGAAGGTGATCAGCTTGGGGACCATCCTCGAATGCCGAAGTATTTAGCCCCGGGACTGAGACCATGCCTCATTTAGCTGTATTTCACCAGAGTACATGAAAAGGCCTGACTTTTACGTGTACTGGATATCGAGAATAGTATTGGAGGCAACAGGGATATGGGAGTGGCACGCTTCAGGCTGGGTATGCAGTCAGAGGAGACGTGGACGTGGGGTGACATTGAAATCTAGACGGGTTGAACGTGCTCACAGACACTCCCTTGTTTCACAACAAACTCGACATTATCATCAGAATAACTAATCAGAAGGGGGTAACCAATTATAGAAATGATTGTGCCGGATCTTCAAAACCTGACAGTGCAGGAGAAAAGTAAGAGGTCTCGATACGAGACGAACTCGGAAATTCACGTGACCTTTAAAAACTATGAAGGATGGGAAAGTGCGAGGTTATGCTTGGGGAACTAATAATTGGATGTTTTGGGGAGATTATTAAAATGTCTGATCATCAAAACATGAGGGGATTGTTGAAGGTTGTCAGGGTAAACGGAAGAAGGTTCGGGAGATGTATGGGCAGGTGTTCGGTGAGCGCTGCGCTGGTGAGGTCGAACCTGATCATCAGGAGAGCGTTGGCGGCATATTCCGGGAGGGATTGCTGACGAATTACTGCTATACTACTACTACAAACGACTACTATTCGAAAGCACAAAGTACTGTTTGAAGAGTATGAGAGTTACAATTCCAGTCAACGGCTACGGTTATAGCCATACTCGTATTTTTTTCCAAATGTACATAATAATATATTTTGCAACAAGAGCGGCAAGGTGATTCTTAACGTATGAAGGTTTATAGCACGAGTTGAAGGCGAATGGTATAATCCGACATGTCAAAAAGAACTTTCTGCATGAGGTGCACTTCGCTTCGCTTCGTGTGCCTAAAAAGTAACTTTCTCGCACATCGTACAGAAAAATAGGTTCTTCCAAATGTATCGCAGAAAATGTTATGATACTGGTGAAAAAACAGTTGCGCGCAACGTGTCAAAAATGAAGATCGAAATTATTTTAGTTAGCCTCAATAGATTTTTGTGAGGAACTTTCAGTCTCCCTACCAAATTTTCCTACTCACCTCAACCAGTGCCTCTTTGTAATCGGAGTATGGCAGCAAATTACATCATACTGATCCGCGATCCAAACTATTAAAATAATGTAAAAAGCAGTTGTTGTATCATTGAAGAATTCCGACATTATGGTTTCCATGCCTGAAACACGAAATAAATACTCTTTTCATATTCAACATAAGTATAATACTAACGAGGTGCAATAATATCATTGTTAATGTATTATGAAGAGGAGACTACGATAAGTTTTAAATTTCACGAAGCATTGGCGGCCGAAAAGTAGGGTGCCTTTATATTTTTAAAATATTATTGTCATGATATACCCTCTCAGCGGCGGCAGTAGCTACGCGGGTAGTGTGTAACTCCGGCGGTCATCCAGGCTAAGCAACGCTCAGTTGGGCTAGTACTTGGATGGGTGTCCGTTTAATCACACCTCTCGGCGTGTCGACTGCCGGCGTTAAGGACGGGTGTAGAAAGCTGCTGTGTTCACCGGGTCAGTGTGACTGATGAACACAGCAGAATCCCTGCATGACCCGCCGATTGCATTACTGAGGTTTTCCATGGTTTCCCTCAGTACAAGCAAAATGGGTGCAGTAAGGAAAGTCGGCCCATGACACCGCAAAAATAATGAGAGGATAGTAGGAGAGGCTAAAGGCTAAGACAAAGGGGTCCCTATCAAATCATGAAAAATACTATGGTAATAGGAAAAGGAAAATTTAAATAAAAAAAAGTATGTATACAGGGTGTAACATAATAAGTGTAATACCTCCCAACCACGAGTTCAGAGACTCGTGGTTGCAGAGACTTCAAAAAAAAATTTACTCCACCAATTTTAAATAATTAAAAATTAACGAGGCCCAATCAGAAGGCTGAGTTATGGCGCGTAAGTGTGAGTGGTAGAAGATTTTAATGTTTCGTAAAAATATTAGAAACTTAACCACAAAATGAACTGAATCCATATATGTGTTAAACTTCTAACGTTTTCATGCGTAAGTTTTCCCAGTGTTCTCTAGGTTTCAGCACTCGTAAAATACTTCCCCCAAGATTTCTTAGAGTTTTCTGAATCATATACTTACCAACCAGCGCTAGTATAACTACTAGCAATGATGCTGCTGGAAAGGATGCTGTTACGTTGAATTCTAACATTTGGAATAAGTCGACTGAAAAAAATAACAAATACAAAATTAACGACAGACACAATATACAACAGACATCCTGAAATAACGGAATAAAATCTCTTATTCATTTTTTTATTGATAACATTTAAGGCCCGGGTGGAGAGATTTTTGACCTGCATGTCCCTAGAGAATTTCCCAGTATATGAGCCACTATTACAAAATTTCTTTTCTCTCGTATACCCTTTCGGGTCTTTACGGTTAGTTGGTTCCCTTCCCACCCCCCCAACCCCCTGTACCGCATTTGCTTGAAGGGAGGGAAAAACCTCATCTGAGGGAAAAAACCTGCCCAGGTACAGTCGTCCTTTTGACAGGACTACCGCTCGGCAGTGGAACCGTGAGATCAGAGCGCTATAAATTTTTGACCGCCGGTGCCCGGGATCGAACCCGGATCTCTGGCATGCTAGTCTAGCACTCTAACCGCACGGCCACTACCGTCGGTCTATGAGCCACTATTACATTTTACGGCATTTCTAATTCTGAACGTATTATTGGATGAAAAAAATTATTTTTTTGTAATAAATTGATTATAATTATCAATTAACGGTTAAGAGTTTTAATACTTGACTTCATGCCTCAATTTTCAAAGTCTCATGTGAAAATCATAAATTTGAAAATGAAAACCCAAGTCGGTAAATGTGTTGAATACCAACCTTAGATCTAATTTAATTGATACCTGGACTAATCATAAACCAATAACGTAACTAAAGGGGATAACGGATAGCGAACCAAAGAGTCTATTTCCATTAGGTGAAGGTGGACACCAAATCATACCTGATGTTTGGAGGGTTCATACTAGCTGTGTCCCCATCGTGACCCCTAAGTAAGATCGAAAGCTGATATGATTTCGATAAGAAAAATCATATTCTACGTTTTAGAATTTATTGCAAATAACTTTAATGTATAAATTTTATTGTAATTGTAGAAGGGAAAAGGGGACGAGTAGTCTCATACACTTACACAAGCACACAACATACAAGACGAGTGACTTGGAGTAAATAAATTCAAAAAGGTCAAATCTAGTTGGCATCTGGTATAGGAAACATTTTCAATAAAGTTTTCCGAGCGTCGATTCTGATTAATACTAAAACTAGATAAGGAAAGGGAAGCCTGGAAGCGAAAGGAAAAAGTTCATTCATCAACATTATTATTGTTTTGGATGAAAGAAAGGCGGACAGGACCAATTTGTTGATATGTGTTAGTGCAGTGCTCTGTATGTTCTTACGCCAAACGCTAGTCCGTTCTCACAGAAGTCAGAAATGTAGTTTTAGTTCGGCATGTAGGTCATGGGGATCATGAACCAACTGGGCGTGAGAATCTAATACTTACCGATGAATACGAAGATCTGGTGATGTGAGTAACGCAGTAACATTGAGATAGAGACCGTCTGCAAATTGATAATAGAAATCACGATTAACTAAGTAATAATTCTGATGTGAGATGACAATTTAAAACAAAACTGAGCAATATAATGAAATGATAAACCCAAATATTTCACTTACAAATACGAGCATAATGAAGAAAGCGGCAACATATGAAGTTCTGGCCATCCACATACTCACAAAACGATAGTGCTCACCAGTGACAACATTTCTAGAACCACACAAGAAGGAAGAGATAATAAGTTAATAATATATGATTAATTGTCACAATATATGTGCGAATGGATTCAACCATGAAATTTATCAATTGATTCTTGCTCCGGTTATTATTAGGAACTATAAATTTGACTCGCAACAAAGTACAAATCTTCTTCTTGTTATCCAAGTCGGGGGATTTGGTTGAACAACTTCGAATGTTATTTGCATTGGTGGTCTCGATAAAGCACGCATTTGGAGGCAAAAAAATCGTAAATAATTGAAGAATGAGATTGATTCCTAGCGAATCAACTGAATTGTTTCAATAAGATTCTCTCCAATATTTGATATTCTTTGATACGCAGCTGAAGTGGACAAAAAGCATGAATTAAAGCAAACGTACCAGAGTACATATTAATTTTTTTTTATTACCATTGCATGTAAGAGCAAGAAGAGGGCAAAAGATAGTTGCACGTTCCTAACATCATTATTAATAGAAAATATGTCGCAATTTTACGAGTGAGACTGTCTTTCATACTTCTCAATCAATCACATATTGAAGGAATTCTTGTATGATAATTGTTTAAAATGTAATTATTTAAAGAACTCATTTCCGTATAACTGACAACTTTTCAATAACTTGACATAAAACTGAAACTAGCCGTCATCCGCTCAGCTACAAATTTTTGTTTTTTGCTGGGGACTGTCCACGATGGCAGGCGGTTGGATTTCAGGGTATCCATAAGGAAACAGAACAAATGAATTAGGTAGGGACTGAAAATTTTCAATTTCACCTGTGCCCTAGGGACCACTGCATGTACTTGAAGTCCACGATGGCAGGGACCACTGCATGTACTTGACTGTCCACGATGGCAGGCGGTTGGATTTCAGGGTATCCATAAGGAAACAGAACAAATGAATTAGGTAGGGACTGAAAATTTTCAATTTCACCTGTGCCCTAGGGACCACTGCATGTACTTGAAGGGGTGAAAATTCAAGAAATAATTTCCTGATGGATGGCAGTAGGGTGCATAGCAAACATATGGGTATGATTTGCTAATAAATATCCGAAAAAAATGGAAAATTAATATTTCCGATAGACCAAATTGAAACATTTGCATTGCAAAAGGATATTCAAGGTTCGAGGAATATCAGGAAAAAAAGAACCTCATTAAAAACCATTTCCTACAGGGCTGTCTGTGAGCGAGAAGGGGAATATCTGTTAAATTTTGTCGAAAAAATTATTTAAAAAATGAGAATAAATGATAATAAATGATAATAAATGAGAATAAATGATAATTAAGGACGAGATCGCAAATTTTGTTATATGGAAGGCAGCTTGGAAGTTCAAGGAATGTCAAGAAATAAAGAAATTCATTAAATTATTATGTCTGTACTGAGCTTTTATTGCAGCAACGTCGCTGAGAACCACCCTTCATTAATGCTTTTAGCGTAGCACAATATTCTAACGTGGTGGCAAAATCACATGGTGGTTCTCTGACAATTTTTAATCCGATTTTGTCTTTCTCGGAAGGAATCGGGTTCGTATCAGACATGGCAAACCACAGCATGTCTTGATTTTTGAGAGCCCTACGTTTTCTGAAATCGTAATTCCACAATATTTGAGCAATTCCGCGTCTGATATAAACCATATCTTCGTCTGAAAACTTGTATGTAAGTCTATAATGTAAGCCCATGTTAAAATGTGGGCATCACAATTGTTGGAATGCCACCTTTGCCTTGGTACATCTTGGGTATGATGCACTTTGCAATCCGACCAGTTTATAGTTTTATGTTTTGCGTACGTTCTTTCTATGAATAAATCAAGTGAAAAAAAACATAACTGACGATCGAGTCGAAGTTCGGTGCAGTCTAAAAATATCAAGACTCGGTAATTACCATGTAATCAGTCCTAGCGAGATTGTCAAAGCCAGACTCACCCAGGACTGCTTACAGGGCTTAAAAATAGACAAGGTTTAACGCTGGGCGAATCTTCTCAATGCCAGCCTCGATGTGATAGTATTGGCCCAATGCTGAACACAAACTTCGGCCAACACGCTTTTTTACACGCTTTCGATTCTCGGCGGATCCTTTATTTAGATCATGATGATTCAATGCGAGGAAGAATTTACGATTAGCTATTGTACTAATAATATCGTAATCCGGAATATAACATATTTTCACGTATTATACTTGCTAGTTACTATACATTCAAAGTGACTAATATAAGTACACATAAGTATATAGTCTAGCAGTACCGACGGTAGTGGCCGTGCGGTTAGAGTGCTAGACTAGCATGCCAAGGATCCGGGTTCGATCCCGGGCACCGGCGGTCAAAAATTTATAGCGCTCTGATCTCACGGTTTCACTGCCGAGCGGTAGTCCTGTCAAAAGGACGACTGTACCAGGGCAGGTTTTTCCCTCAGATGAGGTTTTCCCTCCCTTCAGCAAATGCGGTACAGGGGTTTGGGGGGTGGGAAGGGAACAAATCGTAAAAACCCGAAAGGGTATACGAGTGAGAGAAAAAAAAAAATTTTTTATATAGTCTAGCAGTTGTATAGTTTTGGAGCCTCCTTACAAAGATAAATAATACCCTTAACCTCAATCCATAGACATCAGTACGGTTAAAAGAATAAATCAGTCTACCATGGATATTAAGTTGCGTAAAGATGCGTCTTTTCGGCAAAAAAAGTCACGACAATTACAAAAAATCAATCGGTCGGACAATTGTGATGAAACCGAGGTAACCAGCAACTGTGAAAATATTCATGGTGCTCATTTTGTGGAGAGGGTTCAAATTGATGGACCTAGTCGAATACTACCTGACGATAAATTCGATCAAAGTGAGTGTGGTAATATTTATGGAGGTGATTTTTCTGCGAATGGTGAACGAGATGCTATGCCCAATGAATCTATAGATGAAGATCAATTATATCCTATTAATGATTTATCCATCTCCTTTAATGGTGAGGATGAATCTCCAAATCGATGTGACAATCCTCAGAGTCCTCAGTTGGTTGGTAGTGAAATGAATTCGTTTTTTGAAGATGGAATGAGGACAAAGTTGAAAAAGTGGGTAATTGATCATATGGGGAATATGGATTTATGTGTAGTACCTGCACTGCTGAAGATCCTCTGAAGTGAAGGCTACGTCAACTTACCAGTGACCGTAAACACACTACTTGGATTGAAAGAAACTATTTGAACTCAACCTATCATGACCAAGAATGATTCCATTGGCCAGTACGTGTATTTAGGGATTGGAAATGCTTTAGAAAAACGTATCAATATTGATATTTATAAAGATAATAAAATATGTGTTTTTATTCATATTGGCTCCGTATGTGGATTCTACTGGACAGTTGTGGCCAATTTTAGTGAAAATTAACCACGAAAATTATATATGTAAACCCTTTACAGTAGCGTTATATTATGGAGATTCGAAGCCAAAATCTGTCGAAGATTTTTTACGAGATTTCGTTACCGAATCAAAAAAATTAGTCAAAAATGGTATTCTTTTACATGGGAAACAATATTCATTCAAAATTGAAGGTCTTATCGCAGATTGTCCAGCACGTGCCTTTCTCAAATGCATTAAAGGACCAACAGGTTTCTTTGCATGCGAACGATGTACTGTCCCTGGAGTAGCAATCAACAGAAAACGTGTATTGTAGCAGCTCGAATATTGCGCAGCCAGGAATTAGCTTTGACACACGTGGACTATGCGGAAATGTTATTCAGAAAATTTTTTACTACTATGCCCACTTTTTACGGACCTGATTCACAAATAATGCAATTCCATAGTCTCATCCATTTGGGAGATGATGTGAGATATTTTCAAAAACCAGTGAGTGAATACAGTGCTTTTTGAGGAGAAAATTACATTGGTAAATTTAGAAACTTAATTACAGGACATGCCAGACCGCTTGCGCAAATAGTGAAAAAAATCTATGCTCAGGACCCATCAGAAAAAATCAAAATTACTAAAAAAAACTCAATTTCGGTGATTGTGTATTAGATAAATTTCAAACATGCAGCATTGAAGGTAAAGAAATGGCGTGTATTCAATCTATTAAATACAATGAAATGACAGTGTGCTGTAAGGCTCCCAACAATATTGTGCAGCTTCACGATGAGAAAGTGTTTCGGATTAAACGAGTCATGGTACCCAAATTAATTGAAAACAATATAAAAAAAACCAGAAGATATTCATCTTGAAGGTCATTGTGCTAAAAATCAGTCAAGTTTTTTTTCTGTTCCATGTCCATCTAAAGATCTCAGTACTGTACTCGTTCACAGCTTTCATGAGAATCGACAATATTTTTCTTTGAATCACGTCAAAAGTAAGTGCGTATTTTTGAAAATTGAAAAACAATATTATGCTTTACCACCTTTACACTGTTCATTTATAAATGGATAAAATTCCAGTTTAGAAACTTTCTCGTTTTTATTATTTCTATTATAAAAAAGTGAGTGTTTTTTATGATGGGACAGGAAGGAGAAGCAAAGTAAGCAAGTGCAGGAATGGAAAACGTAAGTGGAGATATTAGAAAGAGGGGAAAAGACAAAAGACAAAGATGCATTCGTTTAATTATTAAAAATGTATCTACGCATACTGCGCGTGGAAAATGGATATACTTATTGCGTCATGCGTGTCATCTCCACGAACAAAAATGATGTGCTTCTACTCAAGATGGCGACTCTGGTTGCGTCATACCTGTAGTGTCTAAGTCTTTTTGTTCGGGTAGAAAGCTATTTTTTACACGAACAGTAGGAAGGAGAATTGTCTATGCAAATAATTGATTAACACAAACACTGATATGAAAATGAAACTATATTATTCTCAACACAGAGATGTACAACATTGATGGATGAGAACTCGCAAGTAGGAAAAGGTTGATGTGTTCACAATGAACTCGTTTTCGCAACTATCTGTTTGGAAAGTAAGGAAATGTGAAAGGGAAATTCTGCAAGGGCGGGGAATGAATGAAAGGAGACGTGATTAGTTACTTGCGA